TCACTTATATGTTCAAGAAATGTCATATCGCCTCTCCTCTTATACGACTTGACCAATCAGTCTCTCAATGTTGGGTCAATGGAATCCCCTTCAAACACTCTAATCATGTTGTAATTCAGTTTGTTTCATATTTGGACTATAATTTTTTGAGCAGTTTTTCTTTTCATGTGGTTTCTAATTACTGAGAGAAGAGATGTATCCTTGTGTCCCATATCATTGTGATCTTGCAGCTTCTTGCTCTATTTATTGAGTGGGATCAATTCCTTTCTTCTGCTTGAAAAGTTTCTGTTCTAATTTGGAGCAATGGCTTTATGGGTTGCCTACATTGCTGTCAAACACTGATTTATTTTTATTGGACTTTGAGTCATTCCCAGAGATTGTTAATAGCTCAAGGCTCTTTCTTTCTTGGATTTCACACTTAGTTGAAGTGTATCTTCAAATTACTTCCTCAAAAAAAAAAAAAAGGTATGCAGGAGATAAACTTTCTATGCACTTTCTTATAAATGCTGTCTTTATTTTCCCATTATATTTGATTGATAGCTTGAAGAACTGTAGAATAATAGGGGCAAAATAACTTTTTCTAAAATTCTGAATGGGTCTTTCCACTACAGTCTCTCTCTGCATGTCTTCAAAGCTATATGAGGTCCTCCTCTTTGTTTTCCTGCAAAAATGTTTCCAAATATCACTCATCTTTAAGAAATTTATGGAGATTGCTCTTTCTCTCGTTAACCAATTGTTTTTTCTTCATGGTTCAGAGTCTTTTAAACAATTTTTGTTTTCATTTACATCAATTATTCAGTTGCATCCCTGAAGGGAGACGAAACCAATTGTTATGTCCATTGTACTCAGTTCACCATCATGACAAGCAAGTACACACAGATCTTTGCCTTCAATTGTTAAAGTACAAATACTGTGTATGAAAACAGCAACTAACCTCATCCTGTGTATTCCATATCAAACTCTTCTGAACAGCTTGGGAGAATAGTGAGTCAGACCTGTACAAGAATATATAAAGAACTAGGCAATAGATAACACTTACTTTGGAACTGAAAAGGTAACAGTGGTGGTAACTAGTGTTTCATCTTGGACCCAGAGAATTACTTCAGTGATGGTAATCCTGTTACAAACAGATCAATTCAAGTTCCAATTGATTTCTTTGGTCCAGGCTATCAAATATATGCAAGTGCAACACTATCAAATATATGCATGTATGTATAGTGTGTGTGTGTGTGTGTGTGTGTGTGTGTGGTGTGCACACATGCATGGGGGTTTGCTTGCATTATACACACACTACACACATTCATATATGCATGTACCTTTAAACAAATGCATATTTGTATATTTTAAAATTGGAGCCTCAACAGGTTTCATTTCAGGCACTTATCCCAATTTTGTAAACCTCATAATATTAGGTTTAGGTATTTGGTTAATGTAAACTTTGGGCATTGTCACTCAAAGAAAAATCTAGGGTGACCATAGGCACAGGTGACCTTTGAGGCAACCAGTCTTTCTGGATCCTTTAACTCTTAGAAATATCTGATCTACTGTTTTTTGTTTGTTTGTTTGTTTTTGTTTTTCCTGATGAGATTGTAGGCACCCAGTTTTTTTTTAATAACAGACTGCACGTGTCTTGAAAAATAATACCCTCTAAAGTTTATTTTGTCATACAGCTATTCAGTTGAACATAAAACAATTTGAGACCAGAATTCCTTTAAGCTACAACCTATGGACTCCTTAACCAACCCCCTCCCTGCCACCAAAAAAAAAAAAAAAAAGGCACTTCAGGAAATTTTGTCTCTGAGGACATGTAGTTAAACAGGGGCTATTAACATAGGAAAACCACCAAGGAAAGAGAAGAGACTATTTTCTTAGAATATTTCACCAGTGGCTAAATCTTAATTTTGTTGTATTATCTTAAATGCCAATAGTTGGCTTAAAAGGATGTTCTTCATTTTAAATTGGTTTAAATGTCTAAGGGTTTTCCCCTCCTTCTGGCTGTGGAGGGTTAGAAAAGGAGGTTTGAAGGTAGGAGGAGGTAGTGGTCATTGAGAAAGAAGGCTCTGGAGTGAGCAGGGTCAGTCTTGAGGTGCATGAGACACAGGGAGAGGGTGGTCATAACAGCCTGGCTTCTTCCCAAGGCTATGTCCCACGATGCGAGCTGCTTGCCTTTGGAGCACCACAGAATGATTCTGTTCCTGAAACAGGTTTCTGCATGCTTCTATCTTTGATTAAAGAGGAACCAGTAATTTCTCCCAAAGTTTGCCCCTCTGGGTGGGGGGCCCATCACCCCAATTCCCAGGGTGTCTCATAGGCCAATGCAGTCTAACCTCATCCATGCCTAGAATTCTCTCCACAGCTTCTTCACAGCTGGAGCCATATTTGATCAAGTGATGACTCACAGGACTGTGCATTCCGATTTCCCTGTTAGAAAGATAATGAGAAAGGAAATGGCTACAGGGAAGGAGGATAGAGTAGATTTTGGATTTATTCCTGAAAATATGAGTCAATATTTATCTTCTGGGCCTAAGTTTGATGCTAGTTGGAGAAGGCAGACTCTCTTCCTTGTTTAAGAGCACTTGTCTATTATTTTTTCTCCTATTAGAATTAATGAAGAGGACTTTTTGCGTCTCATAGTTGTGAATTGAGCATTCTTCAGGGTCAAGCTATCTAACTTGACCTTCTGAAACACAGGGAACATGGAACCAGATCCCTGTAATAGTACACAAGTAACTGTGAAATGGATATTTTTTCTTGTACAAGTTGTTTTCAGTTTGCTTTCTCTGTCTGTGGAGTAGTATTGTTTTTACTGCATTAATCATATGTATCTCACTTCTAGAAAAAAATGATTCATATTAGAATAAGTCAAAAGGAAGAATTTGGAGTTTTGTCACATGCAGAGTAAGACTGAAGAAGAGATTAACATTTTCTGAACATGTTTTATGTGCCAGGTATTGTTTAGGTGGTTTAATATATTTTCATGTTTTATTCTTTTATTACAAGAACAATAACAATACCATCACTTTGAGAAAAGTATTAAGATGTTTTATAGCTGGGGAAATTGACTTGCAAAGAGCCAAAGAAAAGACCTGTGCCCAAGGTCACTCAGATTGTGAATTGTTGGATTCAAATTCAAATTTGTGACATCAAATCAGGGTTATTTCTAGCATAGCATAGCAGTTTTTCTGAAAATGATGCTGAAGAGTCTACCTGATCAGAATTATCTCTGTCGCTGATCAGCCACCAGGCTGGAAGTTGCCCTCATTGAAACCATGGAAAAGCATCATTCCTAGAAGCTATACATTAGAATATAGTTGTGCAACCCAGAGCAAGTACAAGAGGGAAATATATATTAATTCTCCTGTAAACCCTCACAAAGTGTACTGGTAGACTCAACATTAGAGCACAAAGGGGCTTTGGGAGTATATTGCCCATCCTTGTTTTTAAATGATGAAACAGGATCAATACCAAGAGGTTTGAGGAAACTCCCAAATTTACATAACTTGTATAGTTAGGTTTATTAGAAACCAGGGCCCTTTGGGGATGACACAGATGAAATTTGATATAGAGAGTGAGGAAAGAACAAATAAATTCAATGTTCAGGGTGTACATTGTGTAAACAGCACATTGAGAAACCATGAATCCATGAGGAAATTTGCCTGGGTGCCTGGAGATGGGGGAGCCCCCAAAGTAGGCAAATGACTATCATAGAGAGGTGAACATTTGCAATTTTACAAAGAATTAGACTTTTCAGAAAGTATGGGTCAATGTGGCTCAGTGGTTAAGCACTCCTAGGTTCAATCCCAGAAGCATGAAGTTCTGAAATTTCTGAAGGGATAGTACTGTACATTTCAAAAAGCTAGAAGAATGGATTTTAAAAGTTTTTACCATAAAGAAATGATAAATGTTTGAGAAGGTAAGTATGTTTAATCAATTTAAACATCACATATGTAATCATTATCATGACATTACATTAGACCATCGACATATGCAATTTTTGTTTTTTGTACCAGTTAAAAAATTAATTAAAAAAAAGTTGCAAGAGGTTCAAATGTTTGACAAGTCAGTGACCTCACTGGATACCCATACGGACAGATTTCATTTAATCTTCCTGATTCTGATAGATGGGTCATTGGAAATGTTTGCAAAGGCATTTACCATTGAGGCCTCTTTCTTGAAAACCCCTCAGTCATTCTGTGCGTGTTTCACTCAGACTCATTGAAAGCCTCAAAGACAAATCATAATCTGAGAAAAGTTTATGCACAATTTGCAGGTTAAAGTTCCAAAATGCCTGGCACCTGAAAAAGAGTATCAAAACCCAGGAAGTTGTAAGTTAGGTATTCTGATAGATGGAGCTCTGAGGGAAATGGCAAGTTCCACAAATGTGACAGTATTCTGGCTGGAGGGGGTCAGGTTTTATACTCATTTAAATATGAGGAAAGTCTTTTACTTGTAGCTTAGGGGCGGGGGGCGGGGGGATAAAGGAGCAATTCTAGTTCTAAAAGGAAGAAATACTACCCTTCTGCCTCAGCCTAAGAAATAGCACCGCTGGCAAACTTGGCAGTGGTTCTGAGGACAATTGTGTGGCCAGCTCTTCAGGCTACAAGTGTAATGGTAATTGCATAATGATGCCTAGAAAATCAAAGACCAAAGGAACAATTACAGTTTGGTAGAAACAAATTTACAACCAAGCCCATCTTGGGTAATTTTTGAAAGAATGCCCTTGGGTTTTGGGGAGACATTCTGGCTGTCGGTTTGGGATATGATGACCTGTGGTTAGGCCTGTGTGCATAATTGTGATTGGCCAGTCAAGGGAGAGCACTTGGGAACCAGGAAGCCAAGAATGACATAGTACTCTCAAGTGCAGTGGCAGAGCTAAGGCTTGGGAGCTTGCTTGAACAACAGCACAGAACAGATAAAAGGAAGATCAGATTTGTATCGTACACTCACTGTTGCTCTTGAAAACTCACCTACCATCCTTGGACTTCAGCTTCTATTTCTGCACCATGATTTTAATCTTTCAGTTACAATATTACATAGTTCACTGAAAAACAGATTCCAGGGCTTTGGAATATTTCTCTTTGTCTTTTCATTCTTTACATGGCTGAGTACCTACCAGAGGTTGGTTGTGGGATGCTTACCAAGGGTAACAAGTCCTGGTTCCTCCCCTTAGGAGATTAATATTTCAATGTTGCTAATGTCCTGAAATATATAAGAAATTTAATGCTAAAGGAATATTTATTCAGTGTGCTATGCAGATAAGATACAAAAAGAAGTACAAGGTACTGCATGGCTGCTATATTGAGGAGTCTGAATTAGTGCATGTGAAACAATTAGAAAACAATCAAGGGACAAACATTTGGATACTGACTATAAATGCAAATGGGATTCATCATGTGGGCTGGGAAGTCAGAGCAGGCATACTGGGGAAGGAGGGACTTGGAACCTTGGAGGAGTGCTAGGATTTGAATGGGCAGAGAGGAGAAACAAGGAAATGCCAGCTGGGAGAAGTACTATAATAATTAATAGAAAAAATATTCATAGTTTTTCTCAGAAGCACGGAGAGCTTCAGCTGCCCTCAGCCAAATGTTAACCCAGATGGTATATCCAAATTTCATAATTAACAGTTCACCCAGTCACCACAGGTGCTTTAGTGCAAAGCTCAGTTATTTATTTGTGGGGCCACAGCAGAAGAACAACAACAAAAATAAAACAAACAAAAAGCCCTGTGGGTGGGGAAAGAAGGAGAGTGAGTAGGGTGATTCTCAAGTTGATTTTCCAACATGGGTGAGTTTGCTTAATTTGGTTGGTAAAGTGTTCCTGAAGCTGCTTGATTTAACCTCTGTGAGCAGACAAGGTGTCTGTTTTACCAGGAAGGTGTTGATAGCATTCAACAACTCCAGCAAGGCATATCTACAGGGGCACAGTGCCTGGCACTTGGTTCTCTCTTGTTTCCTTCACTGAATGAAACCCAAGCGAAGGAAGATGAGTGCCAGTTCAACAGTCATTAGTCATCATCTCTGCTGAAAAAACAAGTCCTTGATGAGTAAAGCCTTGATGGATGGTGGATATGGGAGGGTAGTAAACAGAAGTTGCATCCTTAGCATAGCTCCCAGATCCAGGGTTGAGACTGGCCTCTGAGACTGGGTTCCAGTTTAACTCCCTCCTCCCTGGAATATCCCCATCCTCAGAGACACACAGATGGTTTCTGTGTGAAAGGCCTTAAGCAAAACTGTAGAGATCATAGATTATCTTTTTTCCCCCCCACTCTTTTCCTTTCCAGTCCCATGAGGGCAGGTTTAACTAGAGTTATTTGTTCCATCCTTGGAGTTATGTGTTTAAAACATTCCCCTGCTTATGATGTAAGATGGTAGCATTGAGTCCTAATGTTCTAATTCCTAAATGATATTTCTTTCAAATGCATGGTTTTAGGTTTGTCTTTATGCAATCTGTAGGTTTCTTAGTTACAGTAATGGACATGTTGCTTTTACATGTGTGTGTGACAGGTGGGGGGAGGCACACTGGATATAGAACCCATGGGTGCTCTATTACTGAGCTACATTCCTGATGCTTTTTATTTTATTTTTTAAATTTTGAGACAGGGTCTCCTTGAAGTTGCTCAGGATAGCCTTGAATTTGGAATCCTGCTGCCTCAGCCTCCAAGCTGCTGGGATTACAGGCATGTACCACCACTGCTGCCAAGATGTTGCTTTATTGAGGGGAGATGACCGCACTTTTGATGTGTGGCAACATCTCAACAGTCTTTCTATCTGTCAGCCATTGCCACATTGTGTTGACAACTGTACATGGCAAACCCAAATGATCAGCTACAATGGGGCTTGAACTCTTTCTGAGAGAAAATAGAAATGTTACTTCTACAAGGCACATTGATTTAAAATGATTTCTCCCCCCAAAACACCCAGCAGGCTGAATTTACACTTGGATTAAAATTTTGTTCTACTAATATTCTTCAAATTTGCAGATTTCTATTTGTCCAAAATTTTTGACCCTTTGTGAGAGGTAATGTAATATACTAACTTATTGATTAAAAAGGCCCTGGAGAGGGGTGAACCAAGACAGTTCAAATTCTGACTTTCTCCTTACCAGCTGTATGAACTTCAGGCAAGTAACTATCATCTCTGTGCCTGTTTTTTGATCTGTAGAAAAAAAATAGTGTCAGTATAGTGTGATAATGATGAAATGAGTTAATATAGAAACAGCATTGAAAACAGTGCCTAGAAAACTAAGGAAGTTGCTACCATCATCCTCATCCTCCTCATCATTATTGTCATCAGCAGCATCATATGAGAATATGTTCTAGTAAATGCATTTATTTATTCATCCCTAAATTTATTTTTATGGGGAAACTTTTATAGGCAATATACCATCTAGGCATGGAAGATGATTAAAATAAAAATCTCTCAAGATACTGCTGTCTGGTGAGAAGATAAAATATACAACATTGTGACAAAGGAAGCGGTGGCTGGGGGCCATAGAACTGGTGTAGGGTTTTTATGTCTCTTGGGAGGAAGTAAACCATGAGCTGAGTCTCAGAGGTGAATAAGGCTGGGTGGGTACAGGAGTGTTGGCAGTATACACAAAGGCTTATAGAAAAGGACAGCATGAAACTTGTCAGTTTAACTGAAAGTCAGAGTAAAGGATAAGGAGATGTCTATCCATCAGTTTGGAGAGGTAAGCTAAGACCACACAATAAAAGGCTCATATGCCACGGTAAAGATACTAGCTTTCAGGTATAAGAAATTGCAAAATGGGCTGGGGATGTGGCTCAAGCGGTAGTGCGCTCTCCTGGCATGCGTGCGGCCCAGGTTCGATCCTCAGCACCACATACAAAGATGTTGTGTACGCCAAAAACTAAAAAATAAATATTAAAAAAATTCTCTCTCTCTCTCTCTCTGTCTCTCTCACTCTTTCTTAAAAAAAAAAAAAGAAATTGCAAAATGGAACTCCTTTCTTCCATGGTTACAGCTCTTTGCAGAACTCGCATCCTGGCTAGTAGAAAGTGTGCTGGGTTTCAGGGGCATCTCCTTCTTTGAGCAATACTGCAGAACCATATGCAATGACTTTGCTACACTCCTGATAACAATGGCATAATCAGCACCACTTTCAGACCCAAACCTCAGGATTCATGTTCCAGAGCCCATGTTTGAGGACCCCACTCCAGTTCTTTGGGCCTCAACCCACCCCAGAGGAAACATATTTGTGAGACAAGGAGACATTCACATCAAGCCAGCCTCTCCCCATAGTGGACCACACTCAAGATAATCAGGACCTAGTAATTCCTGGCCAAAACAGTAGAGCCTCCTCCTCCAGGGTGACCTGTGACCTAGAGGAATCAGGCCTGAGGGTGGCCTGATGCCCTTATTTAGGAGTGCTCTGTGTGTGTGTGTGTGTGTGTGTGTGTGTGTGTGTGTGTGTGTGGGCATGTGCAGAGCTTCCATTTGTGGGAGGAATGGGAATGAGGAGAGAATAGACATCAGTGCACTGGAACCTCTACTTGTACTTTTTTCTCAGCCCTCATGTGTTTTCTTCAAAAATTATTCTGGCTACTTTGTAGAAAATGGACTGGAGAGAATACAGCCTGGGAGAAGGGAGACCAGCATAGCTTATCCAGGTGAAAAGGATCAATATCTAAGTCAAGGGAAGAGTTTTGGGAAAGGAAAAAAATTAATAAAAGGGATGAATTTGATGCCTATGCAGAGGAGGTAAAATCCACAGCACTTTTTGGCCAGTTAAGATCATGGTGAGAAAGAAGAATGAATTAAAGATGATATTCAGGTTTGTGACTTGAGCTATTGGGTAGATGGTTATGCCAGTCTCTGAGAAGAATAAGAAGGCAAGACAACAAGTTTAGTTTTGCCCATGCTGAGTTTGTGGGGCTGTTAAAAATTCAAATGCAAATGTTTGGTTCACTTGGATATAAAAACAATAGTGACTAATGCATGTATAGTACTTGCTAGGTGTCAGATCACTTTCCAATGACATCTCCATCTGTAAGCCAGCATTTCTCAATCTCAGCACTATAACATCCTTTACCATATAAGCCACCTCATTTTTCTGTGGCATTGCCCTGTGCACTATGGGATGTTTAGCAACCTCCTTGTTCTCTACCCACTAGATGCCAGTAGCACTCACCCAGTTGTTTAAACAAGGTATGACTTGCAGAGATAGCCAAATGTTCTGAGGGAGGTAGGTAAAATTTACCAAGATGTGAGCTACTACAAAAACTCATATCATTCCCACAAGTCTATTAAGTATGAATTACTGTTATTATTCTCATTGAGAGAAGGAAACAGACACAGAAGGTAAATAAATTGCTCAAGTTCACACAGAAAGCAAATAGCAGAACCAGTAGTATTTGGGGTCTAGAGACCCTCATCTATCCACTGCTTCATATACCTCTCAGAAATAAAATTGAAGCTGAAGAAAGATTTTAAACTGGGGCAAGAGTTGTGGGCCATAGGCAAATATAGAAACTGGGAACACCATCATTTAAGGGAGGATGAAGACTTGAAGGAGGTTGAGCACCTGTGCCACCTAGCAAGAGAAAGCCCAGGAGTGAAGTAGACAGAAGCCTTGAAGGGAGAGAATGTTTACAAGTAAGAAGAAGAAAGAGGAAAGGAAAGGCTGAAAAATGATTCTGAAGGCTTAGCAAGAAGGACATCTTAGTGATGATGAGCTTCCTGGGCTTAATTTTAGCAGGGAGCTGGAAATGAAAGCCAGCTAGTGAGGTCTGAGCAATGGGCCCCAGAGTGCAGGACAGAACATACTTTCATGATGCCTGACCTGAAGCAGGTTTGTGTGCTCTTGCAAAACTGTTCCCTTAACAGTGGGAGAGGATGGAGTGCTAAGGCCATCTGTCAGCTGCCCTGTCCTAGACAGAAGCAGTTCTTCAGTAGAAAGAATCAAGCAGTTTGTAAATAGTGATCCTTGCACTTGATAAAGCAGATTCTTTCAGGAAGTCATTTCCCCCTTTTCTGAAGTGTGGTTTCTAAGGAACCACATGCAAGCCGAGAAAGTGGGCCTCTCTCTCCAAAGTCCTGCTGATTCATTTCTGCTCTCTTCTAGCCTTGTTTCTGTTCTGGGAGGACTAGAGGATGCTTCGTTCTGAAGCATGCAAGGATTTTACCTGCCCTGACGACCCATTTGTTCAATAGAAATAAAAGGGCCCCGAGGAATAACTGCCCAAGGCCTAAGCACTTCCTGGTGGTGGCTTTCAAACTTGGCTGCTTATTTTTATCACCTGGGGAAATTTTTAAAAACAGAGATAAGAATCTGTGAGACCAAGAGGTATCTCATTTTGGGAAATAGAAATTAGTATGTCTGGAGCTCTGGGAGTCTGGTCTATTAAAAAAAAAAAGTGCCCTGGATGATTCTGAGAAATATTGGAAGAAAACCTCCATCTCTAATAGAGATCTGGAAGTTTCTTCTATAAAGGGTCAGATAGTAAATATTTTAAGCCTGGCAGGTCATTCCATTTCTTCTGTGATTGCTTTACCATTACAGTGTGAAAATAGTCATAGATAATATGGAAATAGATGAGCAAGGCTGTGTTCTTATAAGGCACACTGAAATTTGAATTTCATGTGTCACAAAATATATTTTTCAATTTTTCCAAACCATTCAAACATGTAAAAACCATTATTAGCTTACAGGTCATACAAAAATAGGCAGTAGTTTGCATTTGGCCCACCAGTCCTATTTGGCCAACTCTTGATCTATAATGCTTGGGTACTTACTGGCAAACATTGACTGGAACCTTAGAATATGAGTGTGGAATACTAGCTTCACCAATTCTGTGATCTTGAGCAAGCTGAGTAACTCCTTGAGGCCTCATCTGTAAAAAGGATAACTATAATTCATTTTTCCTGAATGAAATGTTATATATAGGGTCCTAGCTCAGTGCATTACCTGGTAACTGCAAGTGCTCAGTAATTATTGTCATTTATATGATTAGAAGGTACTGTGCACTGCAGAAATTGAACAAATGAATAAAGTTCATTCCTCAGTCTTAGAAGAACAGACACTAATCAGGATCACAAGACATGCACAGAAGTAATCCTTCAGTGACAGAATGTCAGTTATATTGGAGCTAATATCACACATATATTATATGTACAGACATTGATAAGGTGTTGAAGGTTCTCTTAGTACGTCTTCTCATTTGGTGCTGGAGAAGTAGATCTAAAATCTTGATTTGCATTCCTATGCTTCCTTGCCTTTCCTTTGGAAACATTTGTAAGTCAATGGTGTATTATGGAGTCCATGAATATGAGAGATACTCCTATAGACACAGAACAACTTGAGTAGGGTCTGTATCTCTGAAGACCACAGTCCCATTTAATGGATCCAAACAAATTTTCTGTGAGCTGCTAAGGAAGTGAACACAGAGCCTGCCCTTAGGATACACTTGTTTATACTTCTCAGATTTTCCCTGAATAACTGAAGAAAAGAAAGAACAGGAAATACTTTAAATTATCCAGATGATTTTCACCCTCTTTGGAATTTCTTTGAAAAATAAAGAGATATATCTTCACATAAAACTAAAAAAAAATTAGAAACCACAAAAGAAAAGGTAAAGAAAACTTTTATTCTTAATATTTAGCTACAATTATTTTAAATATTTATGCATATACTCCATGTTTGTGGTGTGTGTGTATGTGTGTGTGTGTGTGTGTGTGTGTATGTATTTTAAAAGTCTTGGATTGCATTATTTATGTTTTAATAGAGCATTATAATTATACATATTATTTGGGTTCACGTTGACAAAATCATACATGCAAGGAATTTGATTTCAATCTCCTTTTCCTACACTTCCTCCCCTCCTCACTCCTCCTATTCTCCTTCTTCTACTAAACTTTCTTTCTTCTACACATATATAAAGGTGAAATTCCCTTTGGTACCTTTATATATAAATATAACATGATTTTGTTAAATTAATTTTATATTTATTCCTCTCCCCTCCTTTCTTTCTCCCTCTTTATCCTTTTTCTACCATACTAATATACCTTATATCTTTATGATATTCAATCCCTTTCCCAATCATCTTTCCCTTATTTTACTCAAACTTCCACATAGAAGAGAAAAAAATCGATCCTTGATTTTCTGAGTCTGGCTTATTTTACTTGGCATTATTTTCTCTATTTCTATGCACTTACTGGCAAATGCCATTATTTCATGGTGGAGTAAAACTCCATTGTATGAACATGCTACATTTTCTTAACCTACTCATCTACTGATGGACATTTAGGGTGATTTCATAACTTGGCTATTGTGAATTGTATTACTATAAATATTGAAATGGCTGTATCACTATAGTTTGCTGATTTTTTTAGATCTATTAGATAAATACTGAGGAGTAGGATAGCTAGGTCACATAGAGGTTCCATTCTTAGTTTTTTTTTTTTTTTTTTTTTTTAGGAACCTTTATACTGCTTTCCAGAGTGATTGTACTAAGTTACAATCCCATTAACACGCATTATATATTTTAAAATTTTTCTTCATCTTAAAAATATTACATATATCATTCATTAAGTCACTAGCATTATTCAACAGTATTTCTGTAAAATTATTCTATATATAGTAGAGCATAAAGGGTATTTCAGTAGCCATGAACTGTGCCACTCAATGCTCCCTCTAAGAGCTGTGGGAAGTGCAGCTCAGCTAACAGCCTCCAGCTGCCACACTTGGGATCTGCCACTGCGTTCATACCTCATACCGAGGCCACAGAGTTCATACTGAGGCCACATTGCAATGACCCTGAACCTAGAGGTATGGAGCCAGGCCATTTCTGCCTGCTGTTGGACCCCTCTAAAGACAACCCTTTACTCTTGGTTTTCTCTTCAGCCCAGCTGGAACTTTCCCAGAGCTTCAATGCACTCTGAGGCTCCTCCTACCCATCCTCTTCCTTCTCTTCTTTCTCATATGTTAAACCTGCATTGCAGTATGAAGGTTCTTGCTTCCCCTAATCCCTCTCCCTTTTATCTTTAACAAGTACTTTCCCTAATAAATCTTTTGTATTTCCAATTTCATTTTGGTAGCTTCTTCCTGGAAGTCCCAAATCTACATAACTACTTAATATAAGTCTCCCTCCCACTCCTGCTCTTAGCCATGCAATACCCATCCTCAAAGGCAATTCCTGATATTATTTTCTTATGTATTATTCCAAAGTTCTTCATTCACATACAATTATTTAATATATTTCTCCTTTTTTCCATTGAACTTTCTCTTTTTCTATATTTTCTTCATTTTCTCTTCTTGACAAGATTGGTAAAACATAAAAATTGCCCTGTTACTTTTTTACTCAACGTATCTTGAGCATTGTTTTAACAGTACATGTAGAATTATCTTTTTTTTACCTTTATAGTATTAAATTGTTTAGATGAATTCTAATTAATTTAAAATTTCCATTATCAATTCTTTCCAACATGTTCTGTTTAAAGCAGTGTTATAATGAATATTTGTATCTAAACATTTGAATTATAATGTGAGAATGTGTCTTTAGGAAGAAACCCCAGAAATGGTATTGCTGGAAGAACTGGTATGAGTATTGTGATTTTGATAGCTATTGTCAAATTTCCTTCCATTCAATACGCAATAATTTCCATTTAAGGCCTGCCTGACAGGAGGTACATCATTTACAATGGCAACACTGTTTCATATCATAAAAGTGCATAATTAAAATAGCATTAAACACTTTTACATTGGTTTATAATTCAATAAAATTCCTGATATTTATGTTAATGGTTCCATTTCCTAGAGACGTTTCATGAAAATTTTTGTTGAGAGTCAAGAAATTTATTATCACTTTTGCAAACTTGAGAAGCTGGACATTCTATGACATACACAAGGAATGATGATGTTTATATTGGCCAATTAGAGCTGTTAAAGCATTGGAATCAATGAGAAAGATGTCAGAAGTAGTTTATATCTTTAGGAAAAATGATACATAGAATAGGATGAACACAGAGTGGGAGTCTATTTTCCCTTTCCATGATTTCTCAAATCCTCTTCCCTTTACCTAAATTTCAGGGTTCTTAGGACAGAATAAAAAAGGAAATGAATGTGTTATTGAGATGATCATTTATTATAAGGTAAGATGTCATTTGAGAGTATGACATATCACTTACATTCATTTGTTCAACATATATTTTTTGGGTACTAGTGTACTGATTTTCTGCTGAGATTCCTTCAGTATGGATAGGATTTTTGTTGCAAATAAAGAAGGTTGGCCCTTAGGCCAAGGTACTTTTCTGTTTTAGTGTACTCATGTGTAAAACAGTGATTAATAGAAATTGCCCAATAGAGTTGTTGTGAAAATTATATTAGTTAATAATATGAAAAATCTTCAAAGACTATATGGCAAATAATAAGTGCTCAATAAATATTAGCCATCATTATTATTATTGTACCTACTTGACTCTATTTAACTTATTACTTTTTGAGTTTGTGGCTATAGAATAATTTACTAAAATCGGAATAAAAATGAAAAAAAATAGCTCTAGAAAAATAAGATATAAACATTTTCAAGAAATAAAGTAGTACTAAGTAAAGACTGCACAAGGAATCAAACTTAAGTAAAAAAAAAGCAATAGTAGCTAAAGATATTATCTTGGAAACAAATCACCATATTAACAAAATTCTTTTCAGCCAAAGAATATGCTATTTGATCCTTAAACCAGCTGTATGGGACTGTCATCTTCACTGATCAAACCTTAGACAAACTTTGAATCATGTACAATATGTCACAGACTCGATCTGTGCTCTTTTACTCCCTTCCCTTCCCCATCTCTTCATTCAAGTCTGTTATAGGTGCTCAGCTATGAGCTCTTCTTCAAACCATGATGTATGGTGCCAAATAAAGCAGTTTGCTCTAAAAATTAGACCAAAATTTTCTCTTTCTTTGTCTTCTATTGGAGGAAATTAATCAGGAATATTAGTTCACGTTAGTTTTCTCTTGTGTCTATTTTTAAATGAAGTAGATGTTTAGGCAAATCAGATTCTGCTCATAGATGGAAAACACAAAATCCAAAGGTCTATATGTATAATACACCTGTATGGCACCCCTCCTCTCTCCATCTATAGTCCAGTCAGTTATAACTCATTTAATATCTCTTGAATATATCCCCCTATCTTCAGCTGTACTACAATGATCTCAAAGTTCTCATCAACTTTCATTTGGGTAATTGCTTTCTCTGTCTCCTAAAATTAGAAAATCTGACCATGCCAAGCCCTCTTGAAAGCTGCTGATAGCTTCATTTCATGTGGCGTAAGAGCATCTTCATGTTCACGCATCCCTTACTTCTGTAGTTTTACCTAACCCCTTTTCTTAGTCTCTGCTTTAAGCTTTAAACTCCTGAAGTTGCTCATTTTCCTCTGCATTTCTGTTTTGCAAATGTTTATCTGGATAAATGTTGGCTTTTATTTTTATTTTGTCTATTTAATAAATAATCACTAATATTTTTGAGTTAGTTGCTGCAAGGCTTGGAACCAGATTTGTGATCTGCATCTCATTAAGACATAGATATGTGATAGTATGCATTTTATGTCACTTCTAGATCTGCTAGTTTTCCCCACTCTTTTCCTATTAGCTCTCCTTAAAAAGCTTATTTTGCATTTTGAATACCTTTTGATGTTGTCTGTATCTTTGAAATTTCCTTAAATTCATTTGGGAGCAAAGTGGGTAGCAACAAACTACTAGTTAGCTCTAAACAAACAATCAAATAAATAAAACCTACTTCTACTTATTCTTCCAAATCTCACCTAAACAATCCCTCATTTGCCTTCTTGGACTATGCCCACCTTCCTCCTGGTTTAGCTGGCTATCTAGCCTTATGATCCCCTTTCACCTTGAGATAATGACTGTTCCAACTCTAGTCTCATTATATTGCAAATGTTTATCTATTTCTCCACTAAATTGTACTTTTCTACACGGGATGCTGGCCTGCTCCCCCAGTTTCTAAGATACTGCACATCTTGAAGACTTGATACATTGTTTGTCAAATAAGTGTATAAACAACTGCACAAACCAAAAAATGCAGAACTTCTGATCAAGGCTACTCTAAGAACAAGTTAGAGAATATAGTGACATTCCTAAACATTAATGTACTCATTCTCGGATCACTTTCTTAGTAAATATGCAGAAACAATTTTTCTGTGCCCACTTATAGAGCTGATATATTTAAGACATCACTGTGTTTGGTGAGAAGAGTAACAAGAACACAAAAGGTGATTTTGGAAGCTGTTAGTGTCACAATCTCCCCTTAGCAATGAACTAGCTTGTGCCTCCTTTGAGTCTTCATTGAAGAGTAGAGAAGCAGCATGTGGAAAAGGAAATAGTCTAGCACAAGAAAACTCATCACCCTACCCCACTCCACCACTAAGTTCTTTGTTGTTAGATTAAGTGATGAAGAGGCTGACAATCAGGAAGGCTTGATGGTGCAGGTCTATAATTCCAGCATCTCCAGAGCTTGAGGAAGGAGAATTGTAAGTTCAAAGCCAGCCTTAGTAACTTAGTGAGGCCCTAAGCATCTTGGGAGATCCTCTCTCTAAATAAAATACAAAAAAAAAAAAAAAATGGGCTGGGGATGTGGTTCAGTGGTTAAGCTCTCTGGGTTCAATCCCCTGTAGCCCCCCCTCCCCCGCCTCTGCAAAAAAAAGGCTGTCAGTCTCTACCTTCATTTTGTTGAAGTTCCCTGGATGGGCTGTGAGTGAGTTGGCTCTTACTTAGATGTTGTCATGGGCTCCATTTAGCAAGCCTTATGTAATTCTGCTGGCCTTTTTCTCTGTAGAGCTTAGCCACAGGCCATTGGTCATGTTTTCTGATGATGAAGAGAATCTGAAAGAAAACCGGAAAAATGTAAAGATACTTGGGAAATATTAATTACTGAAAAATTGAACATCTTTTTATTTTGATTCATGAATTTGGAGCAAGAAAACCAATGTTATGAAAATTTCTCTTAAATTTCAAACAAAAAGGTATCTAGCATTTAATTATACCTTTTGGGTCACATGTGATAAATCCCAAGGTTTTTTTATGTTGTTGTTGTTTTTTAACATTCTTTGGAAACTGATGTGCTTGGTATAAGTTAGAAATGTCATCTTTTTAAAAGTCCAGCCATAGATTTATCACTAAGTTTTTGGGGTTAACGTCAGATTTGGTTTTTAGGTTAGTTATCCAAGGTGAATGTAATACTCACTTTATATCCCTCTTAGGTCTACTGAAATGAAAATTTATGTCTGTGCTAGGGGCTCTTTTTTCCTCTTTTCCTTCTAATATGTCATTTCTTTATTAATCCTAAGGACACATTTTAGGCTTATGCTTTCTCCAGGTTCATTTTCGGAATGTATGTGTAAAGTCTTTGAAAAGGTTCTAGTGTTAATGCATTTTCACATCAGTTCTTGAAGCACATCTAATCCTGAAAACCACCACCTTGGCACCGTACCTTGCTGTTGGTCATTTGCAGCCACAGGAAGTTCAGGATAGAATGAAACTATTTGTACTACCTCTACCCAGGACTACAAAAGCTGGAGATGTGAAGGGCACTTCTTATACTATGGTAAGTAGGGGAATTCATCTTACCCAAGTTGGTGTTTGTGGAGTGCTTGTGATGTTTAATAGAGAACAGATTCCACAGCAGGTTTAGTATATTACATCTCCCTGTTGTTGCCCCATAATGTCATATTGAAAATCTCAAAAGGTCTTATGTGAATGGATTACTTTCATTCATTAGATCTTAGAAGTATTTGATAAGGGAACTCTTTAAAAAAATGCATCTTGTGATTATTGACATCACTTTTACACACTGGTTTAATAACTAGGCTTTTTATAGCCATAGGAACTTTCCATAGAAAATGCTAATATCACATGTGCATAGCTGTGATTCCCTCAACAGGCAGATAAAAATTTCTGCTTCTGTTAATTCTTACAGTACTTTTTAAGTTCTATGTGCATCTTATTAGATACACAAAGATGTACCTAAGCAAGCAATTTTAATTTTTCAGGGTGTTGTATTATTTGTAGTTCAGGGTACTCATGGAAAGGAAATGGTAACTGCACTGCAGGGCAAATTTCTGGAGAAGAGAACAGGCCTGGCATTGAGGAAGAAGCTCTAGACTAAATTGTACTGCCTGCTAAATAGAAGGCCCTCCAAAATGGTTTTTGAAATTGAATGATAATTAATTATCCCCATCTAAAAAACCATATCCATAAGTTCTTCTCTTTGGGAAACCTTCTCTTCTGTGATTGTGGTGAGTTAAGAATAATTTTACAGAAGTGCTTACCCTTATCCCCCACCCAGGGGAGGGGTCTGCTTCTCTGTCTCATTCATATACGGCTTCCTTGTGACACTGGCTTTGGATGATGGGAGTAGGGAGAAGTGACAACCTGCCAATTTTGAACTGAGGTCTTGGAAGCACTGGTCTTTCTGCTTGCCCTTTTGGAGAGTTTTTAAACTTCTATATGAATGCAACAGTTTCGAAGACTCTCCTACTCCTTCCACTTGGACTACTGAATAAGGCACAATATTTTCCCAGCCTCCCCACATTCTATAGGCTGAGATAGCCATTGCAGCCAACTGTAGACCTAACTGAGAAAATAAATACATAATTCTTTAAGCCATTTATTTTTGGAGTTGGTTTGTTATGCAATGGGAAGCAAGTAATAGTTGACTATTACACTTTTTAAGGCAAGAAGACTCCTACATATCTGGAGAGTAATATGCCTCTTTTAATGAGGTTACCTGAAAAACTAAATACACTGAGTCCCAATTCATTTTGAGAGTAAAGAGTTGTAAATATATAAAACTGGATGGAATCTTAGAGATAATTGAGTTCACAATTTTCATTTTATAAACAAGAAAACTAGTGTACAGGTATACCCAAGCTTGTATAGTTAATTCATTCTAGATAAAGGAATAAAGTTCAGAGCTCCGAAGAAAGAGACCTCAAAGGCCCAAGTAGGTGAATGTGATGATAAGAACAACAAATTGTATGGAAATCAGCTGATTTTATAACTTTCTTTGAAATATGCAGAAAGCAAGAAGCCCAATAAAAGCAACAATGGCAGGCTATATTTTTTTTTAATATCCTTTGGGAGGAAACTGTACCCTGCACCTAACATCATTCAAAGGCATAATTTTAGTGACTGCTGATATGCTGATTAGACACAGCCTATGTTTTGATCTCAGTCAGCCAGCAGAACATATCTTTATTGAGTAAAGTTGAATATTTTTCTATATTTATGAGAAATCTGTATTTCTTTTAGAGCTGCTAGTTTATCATTCTTTAGATGTTTAATGACATTAAATTTGTTTTGTGCTAAATACTGTGTAGCAGACATTTTCTTCTCAATTAATTTATCTTTTCATTGTGTTAGGAGTTATTAATTTTCATGTGGTTATGTCTGCTAATCTTTTAGTTAGAGATTCAATCGTTCGGCTTTCTGCTGACAAAGGCCTTCTCCAGTGATCAGTAAATATTTATCTCTTGAAGAAACACTTTCAATTTTAGAAGAGTTTTATGTACAAGTTGAAAAAATAGTACAGTGATTTCCCGTATACCCTATTGTTTCACCTATTGTTGACATCTTAATTAGTATGGAACCTTTGTCACAATTAATGAAACAGTATTGAAAAATTATTAACTAAAGGCCTCACTTTATTAAGATTTCCATGTTTTTACCTAATCCTGTTCCATTATCTCATCCAGAACACCTCATTACATTTGTCATCTTGTCTCCATAGACAGTTATGGGTATAACAGTATCTCAGACTTTCCTTGTTCTTGATAACTTTAATAATTTAGATACTTTGTACAATGTCTCTGAGGACTTGTCTAACTTCCTGTTCTATTAGACTCAGGTAAGGGTTTGCAGAAGGAACAACAAAGATAAATTTCTGCTAATCATATATCAAGGTTACCCATATCAATGTGGCTTGTCATTTTAATATTGACCTTGAACACCTGGGAAATATAGTAAGGAAGTATTCATCAGCTTCCTCACTTCAGGTACTCTCCGCTTCTCCCCTTCCTTTAGAAGGAAATCTCCATGAACAGCTTACACTTGAATTGTGGGCAGTTTTGCTTCTGAGAGCAGGTAGGTACATAAATTATTAGGAATTGTCTTTAGGAGATTTGTCTCTTCTTCCACACTTACTCACACATGATTTCAATCTATGCAGTCTCATGGGGACTTATTTTATGCCTTTGGGTATAATCCAATACACTGCTATTTATTTTGTTACTCCAAGTATTCCAGTTAGGTCATTGAGGGCTCAGTTGGCTTCCGTATCACTTTGACATTCTTTAATCATTTTGTTTTTGAGTACTGCCTTGTTTTTGACACTACAAGAAACTCCAGGCTCATCTTGTATATTTCATTCTCAATTTCACCATCAGTCATGTCTCCATGACTGCTTTCAGGGTAGGCTGGTGTTAGCAACCAACACTCGAGTGATGGGTTTGCTTGTTGTGACTGGGGAATCATTGTTTATAGACTCCACAGCTGACCCAGTAAGGAAATACATGTGTAATCCCCATAGATTCATGTATATATAATCCTGTCAGCATCTGTATTAAACTGTGAGGTTCTACTGATGTCACCAGGACCAATCTCCAACTACATGATTCATTCTGACCTTAGCCCTTTTCATATCTGTAAATCCTCACTCCTGTAGTGAGCAACCTGGCCCCTATAACCCACCATTGACTTATTTGATCAAACCCAGCATGTGCGTGTGAAGTAGTTTCAGGTTTGTTACCCATAGGCAGTGGGAAACAACTTCTCCTAGCAGTGTCATGTAGAGCTCCATTTGTCTTTGGTTTGATGGTTCCAGTCATTTGAAGGCTTCTAAGGTGAGTATCTCTTTTTCCAAGCAAGTACATTGATGTTAAATTAAGCATCTGTAATATAACCGGATATTTTTTTTTGGTCTGTCACACTCTCATTCTGTTCTGGGCAATCCCCCCAGCCCTAATTGATACTTTAAATTTGTGCATAGGAAGGTACTGCCTTATCATATATCTGCCACTACAGTAACAAATATAATAATTTTATTTCTTTAAAATAACCCTGTATTTTAACCCTCCAAACTCTGGTAGTCACTGGCATTGCCATCTCTACAGTATTCTTTTAAAGAATGTTCTAAGTGTCATAATACAATAGGTAATCATCTCAACTGGCTTCTTTCTCTTAGCAATATATTCTTAAGATATATTGACATTATGATGACATATTATTCCTTAATTTAACCTGATTCTTGTATGATTTTAGTTTTTATATTTAACTCCTTAGTCAGTTTGGAATTTATGTTACTATATGCACTGAGATGGAAATCTAATTTTCCCTCCAAAATCATTAATTTTGTGAATATCATTTATTGGAAAGTTTTTTTTCCTCTACTGATTTGAAATGCTTTTCCACAACAAAATTCATTCATATGTGATGATCCATTTCTTTGATTTTTGAGTTTTATTATATAATTTTTATGTTTACTGGGAACCCTCTTTAATTATTCTTTGCAAAAATTCTTGACAATTTTCCCCATATTTTTATTTTGAATTAATTTTTAGATTTATTCTCTTACTTATAAAGACACTGTGTAATTTTGACTATAATTGAGCCAAGCTTTTGGAAGTATTAAACTTCAGGAAGTATTAAATATCCTTATAGTATTTTATCTCTCTTTGACAAAACATGGTGCATCAAATTCATTTATTTGAATATTTATGGTCCAGTCTCCTTCATTTGAGACTTGTACATACATTATTAAGTATTTTTCTAAGTTTTAATTTTGTTTCAGTATTTTGAATTTTCAATATTACCTATTAATTTTCAGTATTACCTATGCACATTACCTATTAATTTTTCTAAAATTATATGTGAACACAACTGATATTTACATTCTAATCCTTAGTATGACCTTTTATTGGATGCGTAAGTTAGCCCTTCATAGAAAATCATCTCATATGCAAATAATAATACATTGATTTCTTCTTCTGGCTTTTATATCTCTTCTTGTTCTTACTTACAGCATTGGATGAAACTTTTAAATGAGTGGATCTAATTAACTTCTTGGTCTTTCTTCTCAACTTTAATGAAAATGCCTGTAGTGCTTTACGGAAACAACATATTTTAAAGATACCACAGAATCTTGCTATGTAAAGAGATTCTAAGAGTACACTTGATTCCATTTTGCAAGTGGAATGATTATTGTAAAACAAATCACAACCTATTAAGTACACTCGCTAAGTTTAATTTAGGAGAAGTCCACTGGTATCTCTCTTGTCTTTTACCCATTCTATTAACATATTACTAGTGTGTCCTCTTATTACTATTAATGAGAGCACTGGGGTTAAACGTATTTGAAAAGAAGAATCCAAAGGAACGCAGCAGTTTAACTTCCCAGTCACATTTGTAACTATAATCCAGCAGTTGTGTTTCAATACATTTTGGCAGAAGTCTGTTTGGCTAGCCACACTGACACAAATACCATTTTGGCTAGGCATGAGTTGGAATTTAAAGGTCTGCTAATTTTCTTAAGTTTAATCATCAACAGGTAATTCTGATTCTGAACAAACTGTGGCTCATTGGCTGTTTTTTAAAAGAATATTTTATTGGAAGGTGGTATCTATCATCAAACCATGTTTTCTTTGATTACGAATGCAGAGATGCATTGTTGCAACATAGATCATATGCCTTCAAAATCTAAAATATTTACTATTTGAACCTATTATAGAAAAAGTTTGCTGATACTTGCTTTAGAAGGACTTTAAACAGACAGAAAAATATGGAAATAGCAGTCAAAGATTTTGAATTTGGCTTTTTATTTTCTTATGTTTGCAATGATTTTCTTGTTGCTTTGTTTGTATCCTTATTTTTGCTAGCATAAATGATCTTTCTGGTCAGGGCTGATAAATACTTCTTGGTATCCATTCTGATTGGCTAAATATTTGTTACTATTGAAAATTGCCTATACCATACCAGTAATAATATATTTATATCATGATAAATATTTTTACTATTGTAAGATTGTTACTCATTTATTGAAGAACAAAATTTTCATTCTCAAGTGTTAAATAATACTCCTAGCTACTGCATCCAGCATGACATTTCTAAACATTGAGATGTGAAGTCAGTTTCAGAATACCTCTTCTATCAACCAGAGGAGATGTCAATCTCTATTTTAAAAGCTAAAACTTGTTCTTAGTACATTAATCAATATCCAGTAAGTGTCCAATATCACCCAGGTCAGATAATGAGATATACAAGAGTTTTATAAACTCTTTGAATAGAAGCTTCTGGTCCAGTGAAAAAAAAAAAAAAAAAAAAAAAAAAAAAAAAAAAAAAAAAAAAAACAAAACAGAACTTTAGTATTAGGAGCAACTTAAATACAAGAACATCATCTTCTCCCCTTGCCCCCCTTTTCCGAACTTGGCACTTCCTTTTTATCAGAGAATTTTTGCTCTTTTCTAGTGCGGAGTCCTAGTGGTTGTTTACATCAACGATGGCTGAGAAGACTGCCCAGGTTCAACGAGTGACAAATCATTACTGACTGTACAATGTAATTAAAAAAAACACAGGCATTGATTAGCAATGAGCTAAACCTGAGACCAAAAAGTGAGAGACCTAGAATAGCTGGCAGAACTTCTCATTGGATCTGTCTGAAATGGAAGATGTTTGCCCCTGCAGGCATGGCGTGACGCCCATTGTGCATTTCCATTAGAGACCCGCACTGAATCTGAACATGCCATTGATGTTGGCCTATTTATGAAAGGCTGTTGAAAGAGATTTCAGAGCTAATTGAAAAGAGATGTTTCTGAACTGCAGTCACTTCAAACAACATGGCTCCAAAATCTGTTCCAATCATTTGGAAATTGGTGTGTTTCTATAATTTGCACATAAAATTAAATGAATGATTTGAAATGAATACTTCATCCTCATTTGGTAAGACTTTGTTCTTTAAGAACATTATTAATTGGACAGTCAGCTGAGTTTACTTAAACAGTTCCTGCACACATCTATCTGTGTTTCTATTATGTCGTCAATGCCTGTTTTGGGGGATGTCAACTGCAGTTGCCCAGATCTACCTTGTCTAGAGACAAAGCACATAATTTGAACAGGATACTGTTAACTAGTATTCAGTTAAACTTTGTATCTTCTAGGAAATAATATATTTTTTTAAATGCCTACTTTGCAAAAGAAAAAAGTAACAATAACCAAACAACAACTATACATTCTTCCACAAGATTTTTCTGAACATGAAAAACTTGAGGGCAAGCTGAACCTCAACAATACTGAAAATTGAGTGAATTTATGAGAACAGAATGCAAACATTATTATTAAAAAATGTTATCCTCCAGGCAGTTTTCAATCAAGATGTGAAAGCATTAATAAACATTGATTTCTCCCCTAACACTTGTACTTATTATGGGACCTGATTTTTGTCTTTTCTTAAAGCAGAAATGGAGATCTGATAACTGAAGCTGGCATGGCCAAGTTTACAAGTTAGCCATTGCCTATGGGGGCAGGAAAGCAAGGTAGCTGTTCCTCAAAGCAAGGGGAGAATCGGGTTCATTGTTATTATCTCAATTATCATAATTACTTGGTCCTTAATGTTATAACAACATGTTATTAATTTTTTTTTCTAAATTAGAAAGACTGGTGCCAAGTAACTTACCTGGTTAAGTATGTAGTTGGTGCTGAACCAGAAATAAGTCACATTTATCACCAAGCTCTTATTCTAATATGGTTTAAAGCAAACAATTAGATTTTAAAAGTTGAACCACTGAGGAATAGTGAGTCCTAGTTTCCAAGACTGATTGAGAAGGATGTTTAGGTCTTAGCTGTCATAATATCAATTAGGTTTCACCACACCTAAGACAATTTAATTGTTTCATTGAAGTAATGGGATTAAGATGGGTAGGTACAATTACCTCCGCTATGTTTCTGGCTGTTATTTTAGTTTAGGACAAACTTACTTGCCTGATGACTGGTTTGTCAACAAAAATGACCTCCAATTATTCCTCATGCTAATTTGAGCACTTAGTAGCCACTGTATAATTACATATCCTTGTCTGCTTCTACAAGGCCAGAGTGACTTTGAGAGGTCTTGGGACATTGAAAAACGCTGGAACAGACAGCTGGGATGTGGGAAAAGTAAAGTAGTGCTGAAAATCACTTGCTTTATAGGTTTAAAGTTAGCTCTGGGAAAAACCCAAATGACCTCATGGTTCTTCATCCTCCAGGAAGACATGGGGTGACTCACCTTTAACTTTATTTCCAATAGATGATCATGAACCACATTAGTAGAGTGGGAGCACCTCAGGCCCTGCCTACAACCATCTTGGTCATCATCCCTATCTCTGTGGAAGTGTTTGACAAATGCACTTCCTGCATTTTGCTGAATTAAAGCTGACTACCTTCAGGTGACTCCAAACTTCCTTTGAAGTTTGATCTGAAGTGGATTTCCTATGTTCTAAAGCCCCCCCATAGCTTTAAGAGAGTTGAGGGCTGCTGGGGATTTAGCTCATTTTTACATGTATAAGGGCCTTACCTCAATCCCCAGCACCACCAGCACCAAAAAAAAAAAAAAAAAAAAAGGAGAGGTGAGATGCACAGATACATCTACAGTGGTAAATAGTGAAATGAAGGGCATCAAGGAGAGTACTGGCCATGTGGGACTTCACATACAGAATTGTTCAGTTATAAATAGACACAAAAGCAAGTACACAAAACATTTCAATAGCTGTTTCAACCAGAATAAGTTTTCAAAATAATAACTACTCTTGGCCACTTTACTGAAATGAAGTGAACTTAGGTGCTACCTGGAGTAGAATTCAGTAACCAGGCAGTTTAACCAGTTCACAAGCATCACATTTCACTGCAGCTACAGATTAAGCTATAAGCTTATGCTATGGGTAGCAGCTGGACTAAGCTTTGCCCAGTGAACAGCTACGTGACAGTGACACCATTCATGTCAGGTGCTCCCAGCACAGTTTTTAAGGGGCAGGATCTGTCAGTCAGCCATGAAGAGCCTGTTTGTCTCATATGTACTGCAATGGCTCTCCAGTAAGGATGTCAAACGGCAGTTAGCTGACAAACGTAGGAAGGTTGATAGCATCAAGAGTGGGCTGAATCTTGCTCTGCATTTTGTCTGAAGTCTGGGTGGGTATGTATTTTTTTTTTTTTTGAGAGAAGGCAGCATCAAGGCCAGTGTTTCTGGGCTCTCTGATTTTTCTACTGCTATCTTATTGCAAAACTACAACTACCTAATAGAGTCTCAGGAGGTTGATATTTGAATCAAAATATACTTCATGTGGGATCTCTCATTATATAAGTACCCCAGTCTTTTTACTCTGGACCTGAAAGTTTTAGCAATAGAGAACAGAAAAAATTACCTTTGGTTAATTATTGGAAAAGAGAAGAGATGGAAGGAAAATGTTATTTGCTGAATGCCTACTTCCTGCCAAACTGAGATGTCCGTTTAATGTGTAAGCAAAGACAGAAGCTGGGTTTTTGTTTCCCAGTGGAAATTCACAGTCTTTATCTATCAAAGTTCTGGGTAGCCATTCAGACAGGAAATGAAAACAAAAATTGAATACTACTACATTTGGCATATATATTATTATATGACAGGAAGAGAACGTTTATTGAGGAGCTGATCGCATTTTAGATGTTGTAGGGAACACTGTGGATGCAACAAAATTAATTGTTTCTGTGCAGATAAATCTTCCTAGAACACTGAAATTATCAAATCTCCATCTTTTCAAAGCCCCTTACCTATATTGCTTCTTATCAGGGGGGAAAAGCTCCACAGATAATAGTTCCCTGAAAGTAAATATCTCATCTTATTTTCCCTTTTCATCTCACAGATTTTAAAAAAAATGCAATATGAAAAGATAATTCTTCTCAACTGTCAGAACCCATTAGAATTTCTATAGCCTGGTGCTCTTTAAGGTAAACATGCCATATACATTTACTGCAATAAACTCATCCTATTTACATTTTGATTGTTGAACACTGTACAAATTGCACATAATTGCCTTCTCTACGGCTACACTTCTGCTATTTGAAACTTTTGAAAATCTTGTTCATCTGGAATTCAGTAACAGATTAATTTTCCCATCAAATAAGGGGACAGGAAATTGTCTTTTGCAGTTGTATCCTGTGAGGACACTACTAATTAGAACCCATTTCCTGCTCTCTGACCACTCTCTAGCAACACCCCCTGGAGGTCCATGACATGCCACATGACAGCATTTGAGCTAAAGCCTTTGGTGGTTCGGTAGGACTTGTCTATATGCTGTGTTTGGAGATGGTAAGAATACAAATTATTTCCAGATCCATCTTGTCAAGTAGAGCATGGTTTCTTAACCTTAACACTATCAATACTTTGAGCCAACCCCCCCACCTTTTTTTTTCCTGTGGTGCTTGTCTTGCATTGTAAGATGTTTAACAATGGCCCTCCATCTATTAGATGCCAGTAGCAACCCCCCAAGTTTTGAAAACCAAATGTGTCTCCAGACATTGCTGAAAATACCCTGGGGACCAAAATTATTCTTGTGTAAGAACCACTGCTGTAGAGAAATTGGAATCGTATTAAGTATCTAAATGAGGGCTAGCTCACTGGCAATATTAAGACATAATAATTTGGGTGAATTTCTTCCCTGTCTTTACACAAAAGCCAGAAAAAAAAATGGTTCTGTTGTAAGCTCATTTCCAAAACTCTCTCTGGTGTGGGTGGAATCAGAACAGAGGCCGAGTGCTCTGACCCAGTTGTCCTACTTATAGAGAATGATAGTTCTAGCTTTATTCAGCGGTGTTCAGAGTCTAGGTCCAATTTTCCTTCTAAAACATGTCATTGTTGGCCTAAAGACAGAAGGTTTACTTTTCAGAGATGGCAGAAAAGTTTATATTAAGGGTTGCTAAGAATTAGAATCATGAGGATTCAATACTCATAACCTAAACTGCTTCCAAAGGTGCTACCTCCTAGCACCATCACCTTGGAGGGTTAAGATTTCAACATATGAATTTTGGAGGAAAACAAACATTTAGACTATAGTAGCTCATTTTCAAGTTTAATGGGCCACAGTAAAAATATGATGTCGATGTGTAGTTAGGAGATAAGTGAAAATTGGTCTCAAAACTCCATTTGTATGTTTTTTTCATCATTTGGTTCAATATATACATGTGTACACACACACACACACAAACACAAACACACATACACACACTTGACAAAATAATTTTAACAGCAATGTTGCTTATTTATATTGCTGTCTCCCACTTACCAAGGTCAATTTCTTCATGGCAAGAACCATATCTATTTTGTGTCTTTTCAGTGTCTAGTCCAGTGATTGAAACATACTGGACTAGTGCCATTAGATTGTACATTCCATGAGAAAATGACTATATTTAATTTTCTTCACCACCATTTTTGTAGAACCTACTATGTGCCTGGCATTCAGTATAGGTTTGAGGAAGAAATGATTGGGAACAACAGTGGAAAAGTAGTTAAATTCTGGGTGCATAGATTAAGTGAATTTGGATTCCATGGTTCAAACATATCCAAATTAACTCAGTTTAATTTGTTTTAGTAGGGATGGGGGAGTACTTTGTCTACTTTTTTATTTGCTTTATTTATGGGCAACCCAAAAGAAATATGTGGGAAATTCAATTAAATGCTCATAAATGCAGTTGACATATTCTCAAGAATAAGCACTGAGGTGACCATAGCTTTTTTTTCTAATGAACTGAGTTTCCTATGTCTAATTCAGCAAAAGGAATGAACATTGTATTTTATTTGAATCTCTTTCCCCCTACATTTTGCTTTTAAAGATGGTTTAACACAGTGTCTAGAAGTCCATTTCTGTAGTCAGAATACCCCGAGTTCACATTTTGACTGCACTATTAAATGTGTAAACTTTCAATAATGCTTAACTTTAATTTTTCATCTAATTGATACACAAATTTAAGAATGATAACTACCTCCTAAAATATTATGAACATTTAATGAGTAAAAGTGAATGAATTTCCTTAAAACTCTTAACGAGAATATCATGTTAGTTCTTTATTTCAGATCAGGATATATAAATGGAGAAAATATATGTCCTAGTTATATATACACACACACACACACAATTTCTTATGTTACATAATTAATTTTCATATTTTCCCAACTTTAAACACAATTAAATAAATGATAAAAAGTCAAACTCCACTTGATAGCAAGTTTTAGAGAAGGAACATCCAAATTGTCAACTTCCAAAGGCAGGAAAATCTTGTGCCATTACAGAGACAGAGTTGGCCTTGTGGCTTTAGCAAAAATGAGATGCTAATGAAGAATGCAAGGGGAACAGCTTTAGGGGAAACAAAGGTATAATGCAGCAGAAATTGCAGACTCGGGGGCTTCCA